TCGCAGCCAGGTTCCTCAAACAAACGTGCGCGGCTCAACATTCCGATCGTGCGGTGTTTCGCTGTTCACATGTGTTCCGGAACAGTGTGTTTCTGCTTCGTCAGCGGTTTGTACGAAGAACAATAGAAAGCAAGAAGTCAATGACGCAGAATTGTGACCACAACCTCCTGGGAAACCGTCGCCAGTCGACCTGGTTTGTCTCAACACAGATAGTGACACGGAAATGTTCTGAAACCTCGTGCACGAGTTGCTAAATAACTCTATTATAACATAGAACTGAGCGTGGACTGGCTAAGGTGTAAGTGCAGTGAGTACATTTGAATTATAAGTCTCTTTTATGCACTGACATCGGACTTTTTAGGCTTGATATTGTCATTATCCAAGAGAAGATTGGATTTAAGCTTAACTTAACTTAAGCGTTCCTTTATCATAACCACAAACTACAGGTTAGTTGGTAGAGCACTGGTCTTTGGACCTGATGGTCGTGGGTGCTTTGAGGGGGCAGCTCTAATTGGCACCACCCGACCCAGAAATGGAATAATAAAGGGGTAGAAAATGACACGACATGACATGAATACTAGCCTGGCCTTATCCATCCGTACACTCCGCTCATTCATCATGTCACTGCATGTAACGTCTGGGTCTGGTCCCTGTGTTTGTGATTTCAATCGGTTGAATTTCGACCGACCAATCAGAGAGCGCGAATGGCGGGTGTTGTAGTGAGATGTGGGTGACGACGAGAGTTTGCGTAGAACGGGAAGGTTGTAGTTTGGTGAAGAATGCGATAGTAAAGTAATCCGGTCTGGTTCTATCAAGAAATTGATGCAGGAGCAAGAGGAATGTTTAGCAAATGAAATCGCTGTCAAAGATTGTGGCGCTACTCCCCACGGGCTCCGTTAGCGGCAAAGGAGGTGGCTAAAACTAGGCTAAATACTAAATGCTAACAATTCACTCAGGCTCACTACATACGTCACAGTAAACTCATGTCCAATCGTTTCAATCTGCAAAAGGAGTTAGCCCCTCCCACCTGTTCACGGAGTCAATGGAGCAAATCCAGACCTTAGTATGAAATGTAGTTTGTACTATGGTGCGGTACGACCAGGCTACATGAATATCTACCTCAGCCCAAACAGTCAAGTAGTGTCTATAAATATTAAAATTAAGATGAAGACATTAACATTAGATTAGTCTTTTTTGTCCTAGTTCCATCATCATCTAGTTTTTCAGATGATACTTATTTTCAGAAAAAACTCCCAAAAAATAATAATATATATATTAGCACTTCTTGTTTTTAATGGAAGACAATGCATCTGAACTTGATGTAATAAAGTAAAGATTACAGGCTTGAGACAGGAGCATACTTTGTGCACTTGTATTAGTTATTTTAAGATGTTATGTAGATTTATTTTTATATTTATTTTCTCATTTATTTCACATCCATTATTGATATGTTTTGACTTGACAAAACTGATGAAACGTGCTATATATATAAAGTGGAATTCTGAATATTGTTCTAAATATTTACGTCTATAATTCAACGTACAGTGTGAAACTATTACTGTATATGACGAACAAAACACAGGGAAAGTGACAAATATAAAGGCTTTATTAAGCTGTAAAAAGTAATGACAAATAATTCAAAAATAGCTCAGATTTGAAAAAATATATATCTCTTAATTTGAGCACATTTTGACTGCTTTAAAAGAAGATTTGCCAAAAAGTTTATCTTGGAATAAGAAAGTAAAGTACTAGTTCTTGAAATAACTAAATGGCTAAATGTTGTTTTAAGACTGTGCTTAAGAATGCACTCAAATGACTCATTACTAACTTTATTACCCCATATTTTACAAGTTTTTGCAGTGTATGTGGATATTTTTTTCACAGCTTGTAAAAACCTAAATAAAATAGAGTATAAATCATAATCATCAACACTATAAGAGTCTATACCATATGTATTTCTGTTGAACTGAAGAATCAATTCACTTTTGAAACATATATATTCCAACTTTCACCTTTTGTTGCCAGAACCGTTGCGTTAATTCATACTGTAATCTTTTCCAGCCGTAATCTAATCTAATCTAATCTAATCTAATCCGCATGATCCATGAACAGCCTGTATATAAACCACGCTGTAACTTTTGACTGACATTAGTGATGGAGTGAACCGCCTGCGTTGGAAACCAAATCTAAAAGCTCGGAAATTAATTTTAGAAGCGAACCCCCTCGGTGAAGTTTATATGGAGGAGTAAACATGCAAATTGCGGCGCGGGTAAACAAAGGGATGTATTTGAATGAGGCGATACATCAGCGACTGCAGAAGCCAAAACCATGGGGCGTGCGGAGAACTATGGGGAATGTTTAGAAAGAGTTAGTTTTGTTTGTGGTTCTCAGTTTGCGACGACAAATGAACGATGATTATCGGACGCGCTCATGTGGCATCGCAAACGAGCCTATAGGTCAACACTGGGGGCAGCTGAGAAATACTGTCCTGGTAACTATGGTAACTAGTGTTGGATAAGAGCTACTTTAAAGGTGCTAAGATCTTGCTAAGAGGTGCTAGCTCTTTATAAGAGCTACTTTAAGCAATGTTGTTACAGTGCCTTGCAAAAGTATTTGGCCCCCTTGAACCTTTCAACATTTCGCCACCTTTCAGGCTTCAAACATAAAGATTTAAATTTTGATATTTTGTCATAAATCAACAACAAGTGGGACACAATCGTGAAGTGGAACGAAATTTATTGGATAATTTAAACTTTTTTAACAAATAAAAAACTGAAAAGTGGGGCGTGCAATATTATTGGGCCCCTTTACTTTCAGTGCAGCAAACTCAGTCCAGAAGTTCAGTGAGGATCTTTGAATGATCCAATGTTGTCCTAAATGACTGATGATGATAAATAGAATGCACTTGTGTGTAATCAAGTCTCCGTATAAATGCACCTGCTCTTTGATAGTCTCAGGGTTCTGTTTAAAGCACAGAGAGAACCATGAAGACAAAGGAACACACCAGGCAGGTCCGAGATACTGTTGTGGAGAAGTTTAAAGCCGGATTTGGATACAAAAAGATTTCCCAAGCTTTAAACATCTCAAGGAGCACCGGCGAAGCAATTATATTGAAATGGAAGGAGTATCAGACCACTGCAAATCTACCAAGACCCGGCCGTCCCTCCAAACTTTCATCTCAAACAAGGAGAAGACTGATCAGAGATGCAGCCAAGAGGCCCATGATCGCTCTGGATGAACTGCAGATAACTACAGCTGAGGTGGGAGAGTCTGTCCATAGGACAACAATCAGTCGTGCACTGCACAAATCTGGCCTTTATGGAAGAGTGGCAAGAAGAAAGCCATTTCTAAAAGAAATCCATAAAAAGTCTCGTTTAAAGTTTGCCACAAGCCACCTGGGAGACACACCAAACATGTGGAAGAAGGTGCTCTGGTCAGATGAAGCCAAAATTGAACTTTTTGGCCACAATGCAAAATGATATGTTTGGCGTAAAAGCAACACAGCTCATCACCCTGAACACACCATCCCCACTGTCAAACATGGTGGTGGCAGCATCATGCTTTGGGCCTGCTTTTCTTCAGCAGGGAGAGGGAAGATGGCTAAAATTGATGGGAAGATGGATGGAGCCAAATACAGGACCATTCTGGAAGAAAACCTGTTGGAGTCTGCAAAAGACCTGAGACTGGGACGGAGATTTATCTTCCAACAGGACAATGATCCAAAACATAAAGCCAAATCTACAATGGAATGGTTCACAAATAGACGTATCCAGGTGTTAGAATGGCCAAGTCAAAGTCCAGACCTGAATCCAATCCAGAATCTGTGGAAAGAGCTGAAGACTGCTGTTCACAAACGCTCTCCATCCAACCTCACTGAGCTCCAGCTGTTTTGCAAGGAAGAATGGGCAAGAATTCCAGTCTCTCGATGTGCAAAACTGATAGAGACATACCCCAAGCGACTTGCAGCTGTAATTGCAGCAAAAGGTGGCGCTACAAAGTATTAGCGCAAGGGGGCCGAATAATATTGCACGCCCCACTTTTCAGTTTTTTATTTGTTAAAAAAGTAATAAATTATCCAATACATTTCGTTCCACTTCACGATTGTGTCCCAGTTGTTGCTGATTTTTGACAAAAGCATAATTTTTTATATCTTTGTTATATGTTTGAAGCCTGAAATGTGGCGAAATGTTGAAAGGTTCAAGGGGGCCGAATACTTTTGCATGGCACTGTAGCTTAGCCTGTTAGCACCAACTCGAAACCTCTCACCCCTCCCCTCCCCTCGCCTCTCCACCAAACCAAACATCCAGCATTTTCTTTTCTTTGTCACAACAGAGAAAGTGGGTGGCAACTAGAATTTAGCATTTTTCGGTTTTAGAAAATCATCAGATAACTCAGGTGCGCACACTCGCGGGAAACAGGAAGAGGGTGAAGGGGGTAAACACATCCCATTGGTTGGTTGGGGATGAACGAATCCCATTGGTTTATTTTTACCGGTCCGTTCCAAAATATTTTTTACTAATTTTTGGAGACTATAGACATCTGTTTGATTCCATTACTATTTGAAAACACATGATGACTTGATACTTTTATGGTTTAGGGACGTTTTGCCACAATATAAAATGCGTCTGGATCTTTAATTCCTGGACCAATCCACATGAAACAAAAAAATTGTGACAGAGTTTCACATCTTCTTTTTTTTCTCATAAACACTGAAAAAAAGAATTAGCTAACACCATGGTTTATAAAGGCAAATCAGAAGATGTGAACGGATTCCACACTGAGTGCATTGTGAGGGTGCAGAGTGGACGAGGTTGTGCAGAACACTCTCAAAACAGCTGCAGATGTTTTTGTGACGATGTTAGCAGGCTGAATATGCAATGCGACAAAAGTAAACACGGCAAAAGGCTGGGACTTTAAGAGGATTAGTAGGAGCACTACAAATGCTACGCTAGGCTAGGTGCGCTGTGCAGGATTAGGAGCATGGCGTCCCGTTCTGCATTCTACCGTTCTGCTAGTGCGGCTACGGTGTTTAGTAGCCATACCTCGTATTTGTCAGGGCGCGTCCAAGAAGCCTAGAGGACAAAGGGAAGCAAAGGAAGAGTTTCATTCAACAATGCACAGTACAAATGTTAGCGCCCCGCACCGCCGGGGGGAGACTGAAAACGCAATAAGTGGTTAGCCAAAAGAGTAAACAAAGTCATACAAGAGAAAACAAGACACACATTTGGAATACATCCATCGTCCAGATCAGCTCTCGTGTTTCACTTTTGATCAAAACAAAAAAACAATAACATTTTTCTTTCAAGAAGGATATTCTGATCCACGAGTTGGATTTTAATACCAAAAAGACAGTAAAGGCATAAACAACAGTAGATTCTGGTCCTTAAAGGTGCAATCCTCATCTGTGCTGGTGGTGACCTGCTTATTCTGGATTTGTTGAAAATGTTGCTCCGTTTGGATTAAAACATGGACTTTTTTCAGTTATGGATGACTTAGTGTGAAGATTTGGCGTTCTACAAAATTATCTATTCAGCCGAGTGATGTCACACGCTAGTTTCCAATGTAAAAGAAGAAGTGAAAAAATGACAAACTGTATAAATAATCAGGCAAAACAACAGTATTTAGAGGAACCCAAAACTACCGCCACCAGGACGGTTGAAGAACACACCTCCAAAAGCGTTGTATTTAAAGACATTTTTGGAAACAACCCGTTTGGAATTGTTTTAAACGAAAAATATGCTTATAACAGATGTATCATTCATTTTCTCTGATCATTCATACATGTTGTTTACGTTTGAAGAATAAGTTCAATAAATCAAATATTATGATATCAATAAAGTTATCTTATCTTATGTTTAACATCATTAGCCAGAGAAGCTAACAAATAATGCTAACAGCTAACACAGATATGTTGCGCACAGTGGGGGCGGGTCCCGGCTCAAAAATGTCCATAACGATGTGCAATACCACCCCGGGCCTGTGGGGGTGGACCCAGAAGAAGAATTAGCCAATGCTAACATATAGCATCTTCTTACCTCTGGAAAACGTCTTTACAGGATGGACCAAAAGTTGTCTCTTGGCCCAAAGCTCATGTGTGTCAATGCTGAGTGTTCTGGTCCACTCTAGTTTAGTCGCTGTGAACTTTTTGAAGTCTCTCGTTCAAATGAATGGAGCTGCGCCGGCTGACGCTGCACAGATGTGTTTTTTCACAATTTTCTTATGGGCGGGACCACTCGCGGCCATTTTGGATAACTCCAGCAGAGCATTATTTTTGGCCCATTAGTTAGAACGGCGCAGATAGGCGTGACTGTCCGTTAATATATACAGTCTATGGTTGTGAGCCACTAAACAGCATTTTTAGATATTGAAATAGAGCTGAAGTTACCTAAACGATTGCTTATTATGATTCTTTTCTAGATGATAATATCTACAGGTTGTAAGCATAAAAAAAAAAGGTTTTTAGCGGAGATGTAGTTGGCTGGATGACAGAGTGAACTGTTTATGATCTCTACTCTGGATAGTGTTATTGTAATCTTTGTCGGCATCAATACCAGAGGCATGGATTGTTATACGATTGTTATATATAGTGAATTTTTTTGGCCCCGAGCTTTAAAATGAGTGGGGGCAGTGACCTCTGTGATAGTGAATGTGGGAGGTGGGAGGTGGGGGGGTAGTTAGGGTGGGGTGGGGGGGGTAGTTAGGGTGGGGTGGGGGGGCAGTATGTGATGTTAAATTTAGTTACAATTTTGTTCTGTTTTGCTACTACTGCATTACTGTTTCTCCTATAACATGTGATTAGGTATATCCGTACAGTATTATGATGCACATGTACTGTACAACTCTTAAAAACTCTTAAATAAATGAAAAGAAAAAAAAATCTCTGTTTAAATGTTGTGAAAAAAAATAAAAAATAATACAATTTTGTAAAAGCCCTGCTCTTAAAAAAATACTTGCCATGCTATTTACTCTGGAATTCCACGTTTTAAAATGTAAGTTTATTTCTTTAAAAAAAAATATATATATTTGGACAAACATGAAAAGTGGAGTAACAGAGAAACTGCACAAAGAAAGCGCAGAAAACAGCTCTGAGTAAGACGTCATGGTTAGCGAAGGTTAGCCATAGCAGGAGATACTTTACTGTACAGAAGGAATCGGGGCCGGTGTGTTCCTGGTGATATACCATGAACGGAACAATGAGCCAACATGGTTAAAAGAAAGATTATACTGCACTGTTATGTCTGCTTTGTAGCTATAATTATGGATTATCTGCATTGCATTGAAAATTCAAAAGACAGTCTGTTTGCAGCCCAATGTCACGGCAGTCGTTTCCACTCCCTCTAATCTCACTGACACAACAAAAGCGACGCCACCTCCTCTTATCTGTGCGTTCAACAGAGCCAAACGTGATTTCCATGTGCTGTTATAGTACTTTTAGTTGCTGTAATTCACGCGCACGGGCCCCTGACAGAGATAACAGCCGCTTACATAACAGCCTAATCAGAAAACAGAAGGCGTTGATAAGCCACGCTCCACGGAGAGGCCTTATTATTTTATAAATCCTCTTATGATATAGTCACCACAGATTTCCTCCATGTGCTGACGTGGCGCCGCGTCGGATATAACATTAATTGAAAGTTTGCTGTAGGAGGCCTGGGCGGTGGTGTGGCAGAGGCGTGGTTAGAGGAGGTGTTACGATGTGGGGGATACACAACATGGCCGAGGTGCAACAATACCGGGTACGGGATTCTGGATTCTGGCCGATACGGCACTTTACCGTAACAGCGAGTACCGTTAACTACAACTATGCTAGCGTTCTAATTTGCGTTTAGAGCCAGAAAATGGGACTAGATGCTAAATGCTATCGTACTGAAGAACACAGGAGCTAACGTCCAAACTTTGCGATATCTCTGTTTGTAGCAGTGGGACATATGTGTGTGTAGGATGTGTCAATATAAGAAACTACTCGAATTGCAGACGCACAATGGAATTACCGGGGTTAACCGCTAACCAGGCTAAAGCTAACCAGGCTAGAGATTATGATTCTAAAAGTAATGTGAAAAAACCCCCCACAATTCCAATCTGTGGTAAACAAATGAAATTCATAGTTTTGGACCGACGCTGTCAGTGGGGGAGGGTGGAGCTGAGACTCACTGTTTTCTTAGAGTTAAAATAATCAGTTTCAGAACTAAATGTAGAATCTATGTTTAAGATTTACAATTTAACCGTCTTTACCATTTTTATTTGGATTTAGGATATAAATATAATGTATAATAAGTCTTTGTTTTGTCATTACCGTAGTTTAACATTGCTGTTTTGAATAGAGTACTTTACACAGATATCTGTTATTATCGGTACCAGCAGGAACCAAAAGCCCGGGTGCTAGGATCTGAACCAGGACCGGAAAAGCTGGAGCTCGGTGCATCCCTAAACTCTTTTTCAACAGTACCTTTATTTTCATGTTACATTTCATGTTTTTCCACATATTACGCAGTCTTTCATTAGAACACGTTTGACCCGTGTTTACTTTAATGTAGTCAATAAACTTTCACTGTTCCTCTCTTCATGTGAAAAACTGCTCTAAAGTGGTTTTTAATTATACAGTTCCACTTTCTTTGCACTTTTAAAACTCTATAGTCAATACTTTTTACTTTTACTTGAGTACATTTGAGAGCAGTAATCTCTCCAACAGTATATTTTCAAAGGCAGTTAAAGTTGGGCTCTCAAAAACAACATGGCGTCTTCCTCTTTTTATAAATTTTTCACTGATTTGTCACTACTTGATGCTTTTGGGCTTAAAACTTTACCTTTAAGTATTTTTCCTCACTTTAATACTCTAAATGAATATATTTTAAATGAGTTTGGCCACTATTGGGTTTTCCATGTTATTTGAACAATGACTTTGAAGAATGAGATGTTTTCTCGTCCGTCCAAACTTCAAACCACAATACTCATCACTGTCAACGTTAATATGACACATTTTTCCTTTATCCATTGTCGCACGCTTTGCAAGAATAACTAAATTGGTCAATCTTTCGTCTTTCGTGCGAGATCGTTTGCATTTTCGCTTCAAACCGTCCCCCATAATGAATAAACCAAATTGTATCAACACCACACGCCTCGACTCAAAGAAACTAATTCTTTCCTAAATTGGATTAAAAAACTTGGGCGCAAGATTTATAGCCAGCCTTTAAAGTAAATGAGTCAGCAAATTACACGTAAGCCATTTGTTCACACGCCGCTGGGTTTTCGCCGACCAAATCTCATATATAAATGTCTGCAGTCATTTGTTTAAGTTGCTAATAAAGTAAGAGAAAGAATTATATATACTTTTAAAGGATGAGCCAAAATCACCCAGCGTCAGATTCATTTATCATAACAGACATATTCACTTTGGCTGTGTCCACACTGCGGGGCATGGGAGAGGTCTTACCAAACTTAAAGGGGACATACTGTATGCCCTGAGAGAACGTTCACTGGAAGCAACACGACTACATGGAAACAGATAGAAGAGATGTTTCTGAGTTTCATAGTTCACTTTGCGGATCGCTTTGGACATTTTTATGCTGGACAAATATTGTTTTCGTCCATAAAACCATGTGTGTGTTTGGGGATTTCCACTGAGTCATTCACTCAATTTAAAGAACAACATTTTTAACAATTGAAATTCCCAACCTCTCTCGCCTTTTGTCTGATTCAGTTCATATGACTGAACGAAAGCAGAAAGAAGAGCTTTTTTAACGGCACACAACACGACTGTATGAGGACGTTTGGACAGAGCTTGGACTTGCAAATTGGAAGATCTCACCAATCAAAGTTGCAGGAGAGAAAGAAGAGAAAAAGCACCGGGTGAACACAAAATCAGTTGAAACACAGTGCGACAAGAAGCTGGTGTGGACTCTCTGGACCGTTGTCATGGTTACTCTTCCATCTTTTGTGATTGGGTTTGGACCGATCACATGTTTTAAAACGACTTTGTCCGTTACCTGCTCCCCCTCGGTGAAGATCCTCTGCTCGAAGCTCCACAGGATGCTGGGGGTGGGGTCTCCGGAGGCCTCGCAGGTCAGCGTCACCAGGTCGTCGAACTCTGAGGCGCTCTGGTCGTTCAGGAACGTGATCTTTGGTGGCACTGGAGACAAAACAACCAGTATACTGTCAATATTTCTCCATTGTTTGTTATTCATATTTTTCCCATATGATGTCCCATGGGGCAGGGAGAACAGAGAAGACAACACATCATATACACATTAAGACAAGACATTATGGTCCCCCAATCCCTCCATGTATATAATTATAGAATAAAATCTCTAAAATCCCTGTCTGGTGCTTGCCAACTCTCCAGAGCCACAGTTGCCCTGACATCGCATTATTATATGTTTACATTTAAGTTGAATCAACCTTTTGATCGTCAAGTCTTTTGTTGATCTCGCATAGAATTGATGTTGTTTTGTGAAGCCAGTTTGGGTCAAATACCTTCTATGTAATGGATTTGAGAGTTTTTGCTGGCCTCTGCCCCTTTTCAGTCATCTTATCGATCCAAAGGGCATGTCTTTAATCAACAAAGACATTATTTTTAACCCAGTCCTGGTGTAAAAAGCAGATGGTGTCATGGGAGCCTATGTTTCACAGACTGTTTCTCAAACTATAGACAGTATATGCTTTCAACTGTTCAAACCCTGATAGTTTCTATAGTAAATCTATACACACACAGTTATGAGCGAAAGACTGCTTTATATCTGCCTTTCTCTGCTCTCCTCCCAACTCCTCCTCACTTCAGCACTTCCCCAAATCAAAAAACCTCATTCTCCTTAACGAAATTAAGTCTTTTATTGACCCAAGGTTCTTTTCCAGGATAATTGAAAAGTTGGCACGTGTCTGAGCTCCTAAGAGGTCTTATAGGACAAGTGCAATCCTCAAATGAAATTGGAAAAGATGGAGACTACTTTGTATCGAGAGAGAGCGGAATTAGTTCTTAGTTATTCCTTGAACAAAAAAAGATATTTGAAGATATTTTGAAGTTTCAGATTCAAGAGACTTCAGCTGAGCACGGCCAGCAGTCTTCATACTGTATGTTAACATTGGGTTTAGCCATATTTAAATTAAAGCAGCAAAACAATTTGAACCGCGAAAAATAAACTCCTTCCAAATACATTTCAGATGCATGGTGGACGTGATTGGCAGATGAGATCAACCAATTAGAGAAAAGCTAGCTAAAACGCTCCCAAAGCTGTCTCCTTCTCGAGTTTTAGGGATTTGTTATCATCCAAACGATTGAATACAGATGAAAGAGCAGAAGAAAACAGTGGATAATTCGCCTCAGTCGCAGCACGCACACCGCGCACACTTAATATCATAAAGAACAGAAAAACATTGTTACATTTCTTCTGCCGACAAACATAAACATGAACCTATTCGTTTGTTCCGGGGTCAATCTTCACTTGTTCCATCTTGCCTTTTTCAATGACAAAAAGCCTCTGTAAACAATTTCCCAGCATGTTATTAGAGCTCGCCTGATAAAAGCGACAGCAGGCTTCCTAAGGGCCGACTTAATGACTTTACAATGGGGGACACTTTCTTTGAAACGCTCCATTGCTTTACTCTGCGGACCGCTCCCAAATGTCCGGAATTAAACAGGAAAAGGCCCCCGCACACTCTGAGGGCACGGAGTTGATAGAGGATTGTAAAGGAGGCTCTCTCAAGTGCTCTGCCAGGACACTGTGTTACTGAACCCCAAACCTATTGCACACGTCTTAATTCAAGCTAAAATAACTTCAAAGCAGATAATTGAACAATTGAACCCTGAATTTTACATATTTATTTACTCATTTGAGAGGATAAACCCCTTGAGATGCATTATCTTGTTTTCAAGAGGGTCCTCAAAAGAATTACAAGAAAGAAAACACAAGACAGAAACAGCAGCTCAGGCTCAGAACCAAAAATATACAGGATGAAAAAACACATTATAACTGAACACAAGCCTTTTCACACTGACTTTCATACAAGCGACAACAGACACTCACACACACACACACACACAGACACTCACACAGACATACACACACACACACACACACATACACTCACACACAGACACTCACACAGACATACACACACATACACTCACACACAGACACTCACACACACACACACACAGACACAGACATACACTCACACACAGACACTCACATACAGACACACACAAACACACAGACACACACAGACACAGACATACACTCACACACAGACACTCACACACACACACACACACACAGACACAGACATACACTCACACACAGACACTCACATACAGACACACACAGACACAGACATACACTCACACACAGACACTCACATACAGACACACACAAACACACAGACACACACAGACACAGACATACACTCACACACAGACACTCACATACAGACACACACAAACACACACACAGACACAGACATACACTCACACACAGACACTCACATACAGACACACACAAACACACACACAGACACTCACACACAGACAGACACAGACATACACTCACACACAGACACTCACACAAAGACACTCACATACAGATACACACAAACACACACACAGACACTCACACAGACGTACACTCACCCACAGACACACACAGACAAACACTCACCCACACACACATACACGTTTTTGTTACCTGGTGGGTCCCTTTGACAGGGCCGTTCAGAATGGGACCCATAGACATAATCTTTTTTTACCAAGACTTTAAGTAATACAAAACAGTCAATAGAAACCAAACAACTATTTTAAAGGAATTTTATTTTAGATTTTGTTTTCGAATTGCAGTGATTCTATTTTTGACATAGAATTTAATGCCACTCCATGTCCGATGTCTAAGGTCATCTGGTGAGGCATTAATGCAGGCCAGGCAGTGAGACTTCCCAGGGACCTTTCCAGTCTGTATGAAAGGTGTCATGGTCTTCTCCACAGCCTTCACCTCAGATGCAGACCATGGCTTTCTTACACGTTCTAGGGAGAGAAATAAAAATATATTAGCAATATACACTCCCAGGGTGAGGACCAAGCAGCCTGGCTGTAATCCCCCACCTGGTACACTTACCAGAAGGGGCACTGCCACTACCATGGGGTGCATCTGGATGAATGGTTGAAGGTTCTCCGCTTGAAGTTTCTTTTAGCCCGTCCGTTTGTGAGAGGATCTCTACTGCTCTCCCTGTCGCACAGAAAATAAAAATACAAGTGGCCTTTAGGGGAAAAAAATCATACATATTTTAATAATATCAAGAATTACCTTCAGGCTCAATTTGTATCTGGTCGAGGCTCTTTCCTTCGAATTCCGTCACTCTTCCCTGCTCCATGGCCATCAACACTTTGCTGATTTTGGCCAGCTCCAGTGTCCCCTCTGGTAGTCTGTAATATTGCCTGTGGATGCGAATGTCATGGCCGAGGAAGTTGGCAAGTATGTCCATCTCATTCTCTTTCATATTGAGAACTGTAGACATAGTAGCTATGTGCTTTCTAAGTTTGGTTGAGGATAGCATCTCTGGATGCACCGCACCACATTCTTTGGCTACCTGGCGTAGGGAGTCTGATCCCCTGATGTGGGTGTCTGCGCCCGGGCGGGAAAAGAAGTATGGGTTATGGTCAGAGATGGAACAGGCCCTTCTGTTCTCCACCAGCACCTCCATCGAAGCAATCATTTCAGGAGTCAAAAGAACCGGCACTTTCCGACTTCTTTTCCCTTTAATTTCAATGCGCTGAAAATGCTGACACAGCTTTTTCTCAAGTTGGGACAGTCCCAGAGCAATGTCAGAATGGATCCCAGTCTTACTTCTTAAGGTAAAGGCTGTCAGTGGCATCTTTGAAACCTCACCTTCCCTTCTTCGATTGAAAATGATGACCTCACAAAGAGTCAAAACTGCCAGTTTAGACCAATGCTTAGACGTTGGCTCACTTATTAGGGTTTGCACATATTCAGGTCGACATACCTCAATATGTGCATGCATGGCTCTAACGTCCTCAGTCAGAGGGAGCAGGTCCGGAGTGTTCCACTTGGCTTGCCGGAGGGTCTGTAGGGCAGCAGAAGAAACACAGACGTCCCACCTCTTCTCAAAAAGCAGCCGGCTTCGTTGGAGGTTTTTAATAAATAGTTCATCAACACAATGCTCCATTTTTGAGTCACATTCAAGAATATCTGCTAGCTTTCTGAGGCTATGGCCGAGTTTGAGGGCCAAGGATGGAGTCTTGTATTGATTTGTTTCCTCATCATATCCAGCCACAGACCTGACTGCATCAATCACATGGTTAAAGTTGGAAGGAATAAAGAAATCCTTAATTGTTTTCAGTTTCCCTGCGGTTTTTGCTTCGTTAATTAACCTACCGACTTCTCTCATTTTCTGCCTAATGTAATCATGCTTTGTCTTATCATGCCCGTGTTTTAAGTACAGGTGCTCTCCGAGTCTCAGAATCCCCTTTTCTGCTTTGACAACACCCGTGACCTCATCCTGATGCATTGCCGAAATTAAAGACCACAGCTTTTTGCTGATGCCCTCCGGTACAGGCTGGGCTAGGGAGCAGAGGGACTGGACCCTACTTCTACCTGGTTTAGCCTGGTTTAGCCTGGGCATCTTTCTGTGAAAGCCGGCACCTGGCCACATGCCTCCACAGCGACTTTCGCTTAAGCAATGCCCCACAGTCTATACAGTGCAAAAACTCACTGGATTTAACTGGGCAATTTGGCTGTTTAGCTGGGACTAAAGTTCCAATGCCGGCCTTTAAAACCTCAAAATTGTGCTCACGGTTTCCACTATTCCTGATCAAATCAAACTGAAGTTTACGTGCTTTAGATTTCACAGGTAGAGCCAATGCTCTGGCTACGTCACTTTCATTTCCATGTTTTCTAGTCAAATGACGGGACATTTTGTGGCAGGACATTGAACAGTAGAGGCAGAAGTGTCTCTTGCTGTATACTCGCCCCCCATTTTTCTTCTTTTGCAGCTGCATGATAACAATCTTATTTGCCTTTGGTTCGTCACTTTCCGAGTCTTGAAGAAAAGTGTTTTTGATTTTTCTTTTTCCATACTTTTTTACAGGTTTCTTCTTGACAGTTAAATCGTCAGAATCTGAGTCGACTTCATCAATTAGGGACTCTTGACTAAGCTGCACAAACAACAAATAATTTGTAATCATTCTATATAACAATTTGAAGTCATGACTTGTAGTCAGCACTTACCAGTGGTTTGTAAGCGTGCGCTTCAGTGTGCTCCTCCATGATTTCTTGCAGCCTAATGAACCACACACTTGCACCTTTTTCTAGCCTGACACCTGATTTCCTCTGTTGTGCTGCTCCATGATTGGCTCCAGCCTGCTGGACTGAAATTGCCCCAGTGTGCCCCTCCTTGATATCCCGCAACCCACCACCAGGGTTCCGACACATAACACACTTTTTTCAGGAAAGTAAACCTCCAGGGGTCCTTTCCATATTTTTACAGAGACTGCATAAGGACCGTTAGAAAAGCATTACCCATTGATTATTAAGCTTGGACCAGTGGGGTCCGGTGTTCGGGCCCCACCACGTAAAACCAGTCCCCATGACGTGAGTGGAATCTCAGGTTATGGAACCCACCAGGAGTTGAAAACAAGTGCACACACACACACACAGACATACACTCACACTCACACACAGACACACACACACAGACACTCACACAGACACAGACATACACTCACACACAGACATACACTCACACACAGACACACACACACAGACATATACACACACACACACAGCTCTACAGTAAACAAAATCAGTTACAGCAGGACATTGTAGAACACACATTTCAAAACCATTACAAGGCGTTTGTAGATAAGACAAAAGACCATTTTTATACATGTTAAAGGAGGCTCTAGAGCGGATAGAGACGGAGGTTATTCCAGTCAAAAGGTGCTTTATGGTGGAATGAAAATGTACCTATTTCTTTTCAAATTCTAGCAACAACAACAAATAATTGATTTGCATATCTTAAATTGTAAGAAGAATTAAATTGTGCAAAATAATGTTTCAAATAATCAGGATAACTGACATGAATACATTTAAATATAAATAATTGCCAGTGAAATTGATGTCTGGAGGGAGTGAGCCAAGAGAGATGTTCGTACAGCTGACAGTGGTGAGTTCTGAAGGGACAAACCTGCAAAGACTATTATGAATAACATTAAGTGGCTGAAGATTTGTGACGGAGGTGTTTTGATTAACAATATAGCAATCGTATACCTTAAAAAAATACTAATTCCTGACATATATTTAAAGAACAGCTGTCTGTGCTGGGTGAGGTGGATCAATACATTATTTTCACAATGTGCAATCTCAAGATATTATCAGCGGTGTGGGCATTTATCCCACCACTGTCAGACTGTACAATAAGTCACTTTAAGTCTCTAATGCACAAGGACAGAAATAAACCCTGCACTGCTATTGCCACTCTTTTCTTTTATTACTACTTTTTTATACATGATGATATCCTGCACAGACATTTCTCTTTTGCACAATCGGAGTGACTCTAGCCATGCCAAACATTTACATTTCTCCAGTGTGAGATCAATAAAGTCTATCTTGTCTTATCTTATCTTATAAAATCACACCAGAGGGCAGAAGTTTTCCATACTCAAGGGTCATAATCAGTAGCTTTGCCTTTCACAAGTAAATTGGTGGAAGTTTGGCCCACTCCTCCTCATAGAACTTATGTAACTGAGTCAAATGTCTTTATGTTAATTCATGTTTTCACTACAAACTGTAAGTGTCAGTGGGAGTCAGTGATGGAGGACGCTCGAGAGTATTAGCCGCGGTAGCTCTTCATCAATACAGATACATCTCCAAATGACAGCACTGGGTTGGTTAGACTGTTCATGTGACAAATACTGACACATTCTCTATCGACTTGTTGATTGTTTGCAGAGATTTGCGACTCGCTAAAGTCTCAGCATTTTGCCCCAGGCTGCGAGAAACATTCTATCTGACAGCGGCCGAAACATGATGATTTATAGACATTGCTGATAAACTGCGAGGAGAGGACCCAGTGCAGCTATAACAAAAACAAACCGCCATCACAACTTTAGACCTTTGACCGCGGATCAGAAGTATGAGTGTAAAAATGTGTGTCACTTTGACCAAGAATGAACAAAGGGCACTTGGTTTTCACAGGAGGCTGTTGTTTCTGCGATCACCGTAGGTTTCAATTTCCACAATTACCGTGGCCGCTGATGCTAGCTGTTATGATTAAAGTACAACGGGTTCAGGTGGCTTTGTATACAAACCGTTAACATGTCAACATTATTATTCTTTTTCACAAATTTAAGTGCTATTTACATGAAAATACCAACAGTCAAGTAATCAGGGAAAAGTCTGTGTGATTTTTGGCGCAAATTTCAGTTGAAGTCTTCTCAAAGAATTTAGTCATTGTTTTTGACGGGTTTAATCTGCTGGAAACTGTGAAATGTCCTTCTTTTGTCTGTTTGTGCAGCCGATAGAACTGCACACATGTAACAAAGTGTTGTTTTCACACAGATATCTTAATACAAACTCGCTACAAACAACTCTATGACTCTATGGCACACGTGTCAAAATCAAGTGAATGAATTATCCATGGCCCCCGTGATGATATCGTTGCCTGCCATTGACGCATTAATACGTCCCGCTATTTTCATGTTCCCAGGTGTCTATTCTATCTAATATGTATGGGGATTAGCTTGAGAGCATATTTTATCCGGCCAGCAGGTGGCAGCAGCGCTCTCTGGATGGTTTGAAAACAGCTAAATGCACTTGTTGTGTCTCTTTTTTCTCAACTTTCTGGTGATTTTAGTAAAACTTCCCTCTACTCGACTGGGGATTACAGGGGAACGAAACAAGCTAGAAACAAAATTCTTTTTGCTGATGAAAGTAGACAGTCATTTCTTTCATAATCTGGTTTCGGATTTCAGTCATAGTACACAATATTCTGTGGGTCTTGAAAAATCTGTGAAAAACCATCAGAAACGGCTGGCTAAATGGGAATACCTGTTCTGAAATAGGCAGGCAGTCAATTAGTTAAACACATTGAACCAGTCCGGCCCTCGGCTCTCAGCAAATTTATTTTTTTTGGCCCTCTGATGTATTTGACTTTGACATGCCTGCTCTATGGCATGGGTCTCCAACCTGTGACTCGGGATCCACCAGCAGCTCGCCAGCCCCTTTCAGGTAGCTCCCCAAAGGATTTAGCATTCAACACATGATCCTGAATGAATACATTTGGAGTCTTTACATGTCTGTTATAAGCATAAATCTAGGGTTATACAGTATTATGGTATATTTGACATGTGTTCTCTGTGTTACATACTGTAGGTTTCTATTATAACTGCAAAAAGGAGTCGCTTTCTGCCTCGTCTGTTGTATAAAAGTAGCTCTCCGATAGAAAAAGGTTGGAGATCCCTGCTTTATGGCTTCTGTCTGCGTTCGCCTGAAGTCAATCGTTAATCAGTCCCAACACACCTTCATTTTATTTAGCTTTTTATAGTTCTTAAAGTTCATAATGTGGCTCCTTTATTGGACATTTAAAGCAGATAAGACGTGCATAGGGAGTTACCATAGCAACTGCAGAGTGGGCCAAAGCAGGTATCACTTACATATATTTCACAGAGAGTTATGGAATAATAAATGGAGATCTGGGAACACTAGAATAGCATAAACTTCCTTTGATCATTCTGTACGTGTGTTCATGCAGTAACCACACATCTCACAGCACATCCTTCAGTCCGAGTGTTTCCAGATTGGTATGGTATGGTATGAGACGGCTTCTCGTCTTGTTGAATAATTCTTTAACAGTGGAACAATGGATAACATCTTTGAATTTGAGGACCTCACCGGTGGAGGGCTCCGTGTTAGCTCGTTTTATACTTAGAAAAGCCATCACTTGTGTAAAAGCTGTCACAGTTGACTGAAAGCAGCGAAAATCAGGGTCAGGACTAGCCTGGTCGTACCACACCATAGTACAAACTACATTTCATACTAAGGTCTGGACGTGCTCCATTGGCTCCGTTAACAGGTGGGAGGGGTTAACTCCTTTTGCAGATTGAAATGATTGGATCTGAGTTTACTGTGACGTATGTAATGCGCCCGAGTGAGTCGTTAGCATTTAGCATTTAGCCTAGCTTTAGCCATCTCCTTTGGCGCTAACAGAGCCCGTGGGGAGTAGCGCCACAATCTTTTCCAGCGATTACATTTGCTGAACATTCCTCTTGCTCCAGCTTCATTTTCTTGATAGAACCAGCCAGATTACTATACTATTGCATTCTTCGCCTTTACCAAACTACAACCTGCCCGTTCAACGCAAACTCTTGACGTCACCCACATCTAACTACAACACCCGCCTCCAGCGCTCTCTGGTTGGTCGTATGGAATTCAACCGATTGTAATCGCAAACACAGGGACCAGACCCAGACATGTTTCCCATGCAGTGACATGATGATAAACCAGGGTGCACGGATGGCTATGGCCAGGCTGGGTCAGGACTGGACTTACCGAAGACTCTGAGGCTGACTTCTTGGGACTGCTCTCCAGCCTTGTTGCGGGCGATACACGTGTACTCCCCCTCGTCCACCTTCTTCATGTCTCGGATCAGCAGCTCCGAGCCGTCGTCACTCACGTCGTACTTCTCTCCGCTCACGAGGACCACGTTGTTACTGCGGGGGACACAGGGAGGAATATGACAAATCATGAATTCGAGACATGTCACACGAGATACACACATCCATGTTTTCATTTGGATGTAGCAATTATTGTGTCAAACCTGTGATGTGCTGTAAACAAATTCGATCCAGCAGAAGGGTTTGAAAGAATAAGAAAGTCAGCAGTTCTGTCAGTAAGTAAGGAATCTTTATTTATATACCGCCTTTCACAGACCAGAGTCACAAAGCGGTTCACAATTGTTATTATTTTGGGCATTTGTCTTCTCACTACACAGGAATTCAGCAGGAATTCTGGCCACTTCAGGAGGAAGTGGCCAGAATTCCTGCTAACTATTGTGAAAAAGACTTTTAAGGACATTTGATCTGTTTGATTTGTTTGATTTGAACAAGTCTGAACTGTTTGATTCTCGGATCTGTGTTCCCAAATATGACTGTTTTGTAAAGTCCTCCAGGATAACTACTTTCGTGATTTAGGGCAGAACAAAAATAAATGGAATTGAATTGAATTTAAACCATTTTAACCCCAATATTAAGTGTCTGAATCCAAGTTAGAGAGGAAAATACACTAGGGATTTTTTGTTTTTTATTGAAAGTTGGGAGGGCTTTCAATAAAATAACAGTAAAAATGAGAATTGTCCTGTTTACATTAAAAGAGTTATAAGAGTTGAATTTCCTCAACATGTACTATATCCTCTGCTGCCTCTTGCACATAAAGGCAAACACCATGGGTGACGTCAGAACTTCGTTAGTCCAATCCTAATAAGTTCCAGGATTGAGTGGGCGGGACTTTGAACTGTGCGAAACAAGATTGTTTTATTTCATGCTGTGGTTTTGCTAAACGGATCCTAAATCTCTCCTCAATCCACACACGTAGCCGCTGAACTCGGGCCAGGGCTGGAGCAGATGGGGATGTACAAAGCGGCGGGCCCTCAAGGAGCCGTCTGCAATGGAGAGCCGGGTCCATGTCTGACATTTACAGCGTCTTTGAGAGATCACTGCAGCCTTCACCTGCTGCATCTGCGGGCCATGCCTCTGTCAGAACAGATGTTTCTGCTTTATGTGCTATTTTAAGCCCAGCGGGCGCCAGATCACAAAAGAAACTGCCAGCTGCTTATTTCTGAGGCGGGATACAGGCAGTTCAAGAAGCCGTCAAGAAAGGATGAGGGTTTAGTTTGTTTTCTGGCCATAAACTCGGTCGTGAAAGTCCATTTTGTGCCAGAGTTTCCAGATAGTCGCGTGGATGGAGCTACAAACAACTCCAGGTCTGTTTGTGATGACATGGTTAACCCTTTAATGTTCACTCCTTGAAGAAAGCAATGTCATTTTTAAGCTTGTATTTTCAAAGACGTAGGAGCACTAATAACACTAATAATGTTATGTTTTTTTTAACCCCTACTTTGTTTAATTATAAACCTCTACCAAATGATTGAGACACAGTTTGATGGTAAAAGTGCCTGAAATCAAGTGATAGCGATGCCCCATGAGGTGGATTTCAGTTCAAAACTTCTTTTTTATGGTTTATACATGAAAACAACAAAATATGATTCTGATGATTGATTGTGTGTCTTTTAAAATTACCCAAAACAGTATCAGTCAAATTATTTCAAGCAATACAAGCTCTTTCCCCATATCATGAATATTCTTTGCAATGATTTTTTAAACTTTTGATATTTGCCAGATACTAAACTCCAGATGTTTTTTTAACAGCTTTTTGTTGATGAGAGACTTCTGAATTAGCCGCCCACTCTGTCCTTTCCTTTATGGGCATTCATGATTGCATATTTCCTTAAGGTATTCGTATTTACACCATCCGTCGCCGCTATTAGCAGTTTTGATTATGAGCATGACGCAGAGACTTGACAAGACTCGTTCGCAGTGTCATTGTTCTATCACCAGATTCAATTACAATCTGGAATCTGCTGATCGTGGTGGAACTGACACTAAAGTATGCAGTGCAAACTTTGAGGTTTACCGGTTACTTGGATGTTCTTTATCCTTCATACGTGTCTATCCTGTGACGGAAGAATTTCATGCAATTTTTGACAGGACTGAGGCTGTTTTAACTGTTGTTTCTGCGATCACCGTAGGTTTCAATTCCCACAATTACCATGGCCGCTTACGCTAGCTCTTATGATTAAGAGCTAGCATTGGCTTCAGGTGGCTTTGTATAAATACTGGTATAACGTCAACATTATTATAATTTTGCACAGATATAAGTCAAGTAATCAGGGAAAAGTCTGTGAGATTTTTGGCGCAAAATCCAGTTGCAGTCTTCTCGAATAATTTAGTCATTGCTTGTGACGGGTTTAATCTGCTGGAAACTGTGAAATGTCCTTCTTTTGTCTGTTTGTGCAGCCAATCAGACTGCACACATTTAACAAAGTGTTGTTTTCACAGATATCTCAACACAAACTCTCTATAAACTGCTCTATGGCTCTCCGGCAGGGTCTATGGAAAATGTCAGAATTATCCTGTTTTGGCAGAATGTGTTTGAAAAGACATTCTGCCGTTATTTGTCAATCTCATAAAAAGCAAATGAGCAGCAACGTTTCCGTGTTTTTTTCTTCTATGTTTTGTCATTTCAGGTGACTTCACTTTCAAACGATTACCAACCCTTCAACGACTCCATATGCCGTACATTTTTGGAAAGCTGAGAATCCATACTTTCAGAATGTCTAAATTGTGCACTTTGTTCCCACAGCCAGACATATATTTGTGAATTCTTGTTAATGATTTCACGTTCTAAAACATATAATCCCAATGTAAATATTTAAACAATGCTGCTTCTTATGACATATTTTCTACACAGAGACATCATTCGTAATTAAAGTCATAATTTAAAAGGCATATCATAGATTCAGACCAATAATACGTTATAAAGTAGAAATGACCAGAGGAACCATTATAAGTTAATATAAAAGTCTCCCCAAGGTTTTTCACTTTTCTCCCACTGGGTTTTTACAGTTTTTCTTGCTGATGCTTATGGATCAATGTGTTTGCTTATCATTGAATCTCTTGTGTCTGAACTGTTTGATTCTCTGATCTGCGCTGGTAAATCGACAGTGTTGAAAAGTCCTCCGAGCTGTTGAGATTTAGGGCTATACAAAAATACATTGAACTGAGAATAAGTGACAATGACAGGGAAAACAACAACTTTATTCCATGAAAACTCCACGTTCTGTCTCTGTCAAAACCTCATCTGAAATCTGCATCACTCTAAACATTTGAGGCGCTGTGACAACACGGCACTGGCGGCCTGCAGTCTCCCTCCGGTTCCGTCTGTTGGTGGTGGATGCAGATAAAGCCGTGTCTGGAGGTGGGTGGGATGGGGGAGCAGCTGGACCACAAGCCACTGCACCATCGGGCTAAAGCTCCATTTGTCAAGCCTTTTCCCCCGGCTCTAAACAGCCCTGCCACTCAGCACGACACTCCCACTCTCCGAGAATACAAATGTGGACGGACAAGCGGCTCCGGCAGCAGAGAGGGAGGACAGCACCAGGGCTTTCACAACAAGAAGGTTTTCACTGGGCCAGTTCACAAGAGTTTTTCCCCCGCACTGTAGACGCCGTTTGAATTCAGAATATCAACAGGGATTGGAAGAAAAGCCGGTGTCGTAATATAGAAATATAAATGTGATTTTCTTTTTCTGACAGCATGGACGCACTAAATATCACAAACACTTCAACTCAAAACATTTCATCACAACGGCCACCTTAAAAACTTCCTTTGCAGAATGTTAATTAGTCAAGAATGTTAAAGTTTTTCACCTTCCATTGATAGATGACAAAGAATTGTACCAGCAAGTTAGAAAATATCTGCCAATTGTATTCAATAACTAAAGTAGGTTTTTTTTGTAGCCAGTACAAATTCTGACCATTTGAGTATCTGATAAGCTGATTGGTCAATTGCATGTTTGCATTTGTGTTCATGAATGATCATACTTAAAAGACTGTTCATTGGTGTGAGTTCAGCCATAAACACTACAGGACAAAGCATCTATACAAACTGCAAATACAGTACTTGCTGGACTAAGAGCACCTGTACATAAACCGAACCAGATGAATTTGATATTTCCCCCAGACATAGGGCGCACTTGTAAATAAGCAAGAGTTTCCCATGTTTTAATGTTTTAACTGGTCACAACATGATGTAAGGATGAGGTGTTTTAGTACAATCTAATTACATTTGACAATCCATGCGTGTCTCATCACTACTACAACTTCAAAAATAGTAGGGTCAAAATAATAAGTCCAAAACCTCTGTTCTAACAACAACCCTATTCACATAAAAACAACTGATATGTACAGTGCCTTGCGAAAGTATTCGGCCCCCTTGAACCTTTCAACATTTTGCCACATTTCAGGCTTCAAACCTAAAGATATGAAAATAAAAATGTTTGTCAAGAATCAACAACAAGTGGGACACATTCGTGAAGAGGAACGAAATTTATTGGATAATTTAAACTTTTTTAACAAATAAAAAACTGAAAAGTTGGGCGTGCAATATTATTCGGCCCCCTTGCGCTAATACTTTGTAGCGCCACCTTTTGCTGCAATTACAGCTGCAAGTCGCTTGGGGTATGTCTCTATCAGTTTTGCACATCGAGAGACTGGAATTCTTGCCCATTCTTCCTTGCAAAACAGCTGGAGCTCAGTGAGATTGGATGGAGAGCGTTTGTGAAGAGCAGTCTTCAGCTCTTTCCACAGATTCTCGATTGGATTCAGGTCTGGACTTTGACTTGGCCATTCTAACACCTGGATACGTCTATTTGTGAACCATTCCATTGTAGATTTGGCTTTATGTTTTGGATCATTGTCCTGTTGGAAGATAAATCTCTGTCCCAGTCTCAGGTCTTTTGCAGACTCCAACAGGTTTTCTTCCAGAATGGTCCTGTATTTGGCTCCATCCATCTTCCCATCAATTTTAGCCATCTTCCCTGTCCCTGCTGAAGAAAAGCAGGCCCAAAGCATGATGCTGCCACCACCATGTTTGAC